TGAGTGCGTGCGTGAAAACCGGACCTCCTCGAGGTCGACACCGATCTCCTTGTCGCGTCGATCTATCAGAGTTCTGAGCATAGACGGAGAAAGAAGAAAGAAAAGAAACGAGAGAGAGAGAGAGAGAAATCGTTCGGCATGTATTCCGACGGCCACGAGGTGGACGGCAGCTGGGTGCTGCGCGTCTACGTGACGGACCTGCAGGTCGAGAGGAGTTTACGTGTCAAGGGAGAACGTAGCACATCGGTGGTGGTCATGCTACGCCTCGTGGAGATCTTGGTGAGTGGTCCCTACCTACGTTCCCCTTTACCTACCTATATCTCTCTTGTCCTTTCGTTTTTTTTCCTCTCTTCTTCCTCACTCCTTCGTCTCGCTGTCTCCTCCTGACTTCCTCTCACGATCGTAAAACGCGGCCGTTCGACTCCCGTTCTCGTCGTGTCTGCATATTCGGATGTACGCGCGTCTCGATGCGTGACAGGTGGAATTTGAAAGATCGCGAAGTGACGGCAACGCGAACTCCAATTTTGAAGTGACCGGCAAAATGGCGCGCACGCATTGTGCACGCTCGTTAATTCCAGCATATAACGATGACTGTATTAAATATTTATTTCGAAAGAGGCTGCAAAGCCTGAAAATTCTGCTGAAAATTCTTGCTTCTAAATAACACATCTATATGTGAAAAAAGTAAATACAAATTCAAAAGATGTTTAATTTGAAGACAATGATTACGTTCAATAAAACGTTTATTTTGCAACTGTTGGAGATTTTCTCTGTGCTGAGACTGGATTATTCTTTTGGATCTAAAAATATAATTCCATTTCTCAGCACAAAAAAACTTCCAACTTGCAAAACAAACGTTCTGATGAATGTGATTATATTTCCTGTCTATATTTTTCAAAAGTATGTTGGCTGTATGTTTTTAAATAATATTTTAGATTTAAAACTGTAAACGTTTTAATCAGGAACATCTTTTGTTATTAAATGTCTGTTTTGAATAAAACATTTTATATTTAAATGTTTTCTGTACTTCTAATAAAAAATAATTAAATATATATATATAATATTATTAATTATTGATTTCTTTTTTAAAGCAGATTTTACTGTTCTCCTTATGTACTCTAAATATATTTTTGGAAAAATCATGTTGCATAATATAATTTATGTGACGTAAACTAGATTTATACACAAAAAATTAATTAATTAATTTTAAATCAAGACAAATATTCTCATATGAGCAAAAATATTATAATCTTCTTAAAAATTTTAATCTTGAGTTAATTGAATTTTATATTAACACACATATTATTTTTGCTCAACTCACGACTAAAAATCTTTCATACGAGATTATAATACAGAAGATTATAATATACTTGTTTATATATGTGAATATTTATGTTTTCTATCAATAGAATTTAAAACTAAAATTTTTCTAAGAAGATTAAAATATTCTTATTTCTATATGAAAATATATCTATTTTGATTTAAGACTAAGTTTTTTTCTGTACATATGAATATAATTGTGCAAAAGAAACAGTTCGTTTTATTTTTAATATTTAATTATCCATTTTTTCCAACATAAATGATAAAAAGAGATTTTGGATTTTACATTTAGTTTTCTGCAAAAATATATCCGACACGAGGAAATGATTAATTAAAAAAATCTCAGCTCTTATATGACTTTGACCACCGATTGATGATTTTTCTCGTTTAACCGGTTAATTTTACGAGACTGAAAACATCGATCGCCTTTGCATTGGCACAGCGTGGATAATTAGCCAAGCTGATGCAGGATGGTTTTATCCTCGTTAAATTAGCCAATTTCGATCGATTGAACGAGCCGGTTCCCATATCCATCCGTATACAGGGTGATCCATTATTGAAACGATTGGAAAGACAATGAGAAAATACAGTTAAAATTTTCTCATAAAACATTCATCACAAAATTCGTATGTAAAATCATAATCTATATCCTCATATGTTTCCAATTTCTTTTCCGATATTCGGTATTTAATATCCAGCATTTTTTCAATTGTGTTATTACTATAATGATAGATCATTCTGGGTATTCGCAAATTTAAAAAAAATTCAACAAGAAGGAAAGAAGGGGATCGAAGATTGCTATTAGTCATCCGCAAAAATTTTGTTTGCTTCCGCTAAAATAAATGTTCGCGTGGTTTACGTGGTTACGTTAATTAGAGAGAAACGCGATGGTATAAAATTTCCGAATAAAATGTACCGAGGACACATTTCCGGTCAGAGAAAAATTCGAGTGTTTACTTGCCAACTGTATGATAAGGAATAACTCGTATCTCAAATATGTCGCCCACCCTTTTTCCCAGGTACGATAATGATAATCTCATGCCGATGTTCTCGTTTTCGTTTAGTGAATACACGAATATGATATTTCGACGAGGATGAACGCGTATAAAATACGGACCGATATAAAATCAATCTCTCAATTTTTTCAAATAATTCATAACAATTCGATGATGATTGCAGTTAAGATGCTGAGAAACGTTTAAAGGAAATTTTCGGAAAATTCATATTGGATATAATAGTATTTTTATCTAATCTATAATATTTTTATCTTATCTAATTATTTTATCTAATCGAAATTTCTTCCACAAGCAAAAAGCACTTTTTTTTTCAAAAGATCTCATTTAGAAAAGGGATTTTTTTCAAATTTCCAATCTTTGTTCGTGAAAGATGATTGTTTTTCAAACAAGCATAATTACTCCTATCTTTATTCTAAAGTCTGAATAAAATATTTATCTCAATGATATCAAGCTTTCCTTCACATAATATGGAGATTTCCGTGACTCATGAATATATTATAACGTGAAGTAACGAGTGCGAGTGCATTATTCAACCGCGTTTCTGCGAAATCGTCGCAACCCTTATGGGATGAAACCGTAGACGATAATTTTGTTGAAAAGAAGGGTCGACAAACAAATCAATTTGTTATCTAAAATCGATTATTTTCTAAAAATATTGCAAGCTGAATAACTTACTTTCAATATTCAGCGATTAATTTTGTTGTAATTAATTAAATCTTGTCCTAACAAGACCTCTATTAGTACTTACTTCGTCATTAATATTCAATCTCATATCAAGATTAATGTCTCAGTAATAATCTCATTATTGTCGATAATTATTCAGGCTTCGGAACATCGGGGAAATGATCGACTTTCAAGGGAAGAAGGCATCGAACATCGGATATGGCGCGGGGCCAGGTAGAAAAATCCGGCAGCCATATCTTTTGTTGACTGGTCCTCTTACCTTTTTTGTTCCATCGCGCTGGACCCGACAGGTTAGCGTGGCCGTGCAGGTTCTCGCTGCATCTTGCCACTCGACGATTCCGAACCGGACCGACGCGTATTACCGGCCTATGGTGTGGCTGAGCCTTATGTAAATACACCGGGTGTCCCGGAGCGCACGTAACCACGAACTGACACGTCGCAATGGGTCACACGTACTTGAGTGATTTTTCGATCAAGTGTCATAAAACCCCGGGATCTGAGATTTAGAGGGCACGTGATGCTGAGAAAATGCAACAGGAAAAAAGAAATATTTTTGAACAAAGAACAGGTCAGGAGATCGGCCTTCAAACGGAAGACGCTCTTCGATCTCGGCAAGATGGTCTTTTGGTTATAAATGAGCTTATTTTAACACCATGAGAAGTAATAAATTTGAAATAATAGATTTTGATATATATCACTGTAGCCTGAGAAATAAACTTTGTATTCTATTTACATATGTAATTATTTGAAATTTTTGAGGATTATTTGATAACGTAATAATGATGTTGGACGTTGGACGTTATGAAGAAATTATCGTAAATTTGAATAAAATTTATATGTGTGTTTAATAAAAAAAACATTATATATACATATATTTTATTTTAAAATGTGCGAATATTAACTTGAATGAATTTATTCATACATATTATCAAATTTATGTAATATTTGCCACCTTGAAAGCGCATCTAAGATTTCGAACTATTTCGAATTTTTTATGAAAAAATGTGCTTTTGTATTCTTCTTTTGTTTCTCACAAGATAATGAATGAAGTGGCCTAGATAATTTTGAGGCGGAAAGGACAGTGTCCTAAAAATAAAACAAAGGAAATGTAAATGTTCAGAGAATGCCTGCCCTTTGTAGTCAGAAATAATAGTGAGAAAATGTCACACAAGTGCATCAAAATATTGAAGTATTTTTGCATAATGTGAATAAAAATATCTATAAACAACAACATAGGCATCGTAAAATTTCTAAAAAAATAAAAATTTATTATGAAAATTGAAAATATAATATATAGAATGTTTTATAGTCGCGTTTTCTTGAAAAAGGAAATGTTTATAGATTAAACAATTAAATCGCATATTAAATATCTTATTTATTTTATTTATTTATTATAAAAAAGAATGCAGAAAATCAATGCAATAACAATAATTGCATCTCATAATTAATAATCGATGAATGCTTACGCGCGCTTACGGAGTTCGAGATCTCGAGCTGTCCTTTTTTAGTCGCCTCATTATTCCGATTTGTTCGTTCCATAAATTCTGCGTTACAATGCGTAAACACATTGCGTAAACACCTTCATAGTGGTAGTTTGATCATATTTCGCTCTGTTATGCAACGTTTATTGGCGTTCGTTGCGAAATGAAGATTCTCCATTTCGCGAAATTTTATCTCACACGTCGAAGCTTTAAATATATATGTATTTAGAATCATGTTTAATTAATTATCTGTGTAATATTCAATCGTTGTAATATTACAATCGCACGATTCTTTATCGAAGATTAGATCGTGCGCCAAAGATAATTGAAATTCCAAGTCGGATCGGCCCGCGTTCAGCGTTCTCGTTCGCTTATTATCGAAATCAGCCTCGTGTAATTGACGCTCGCTGGTCAGACACACGTGGCTTCGTAGCGTCACGAAGAGAGAAAAAGTCGGCGAGATATCCGAGCCGATGTACCGTACGTCAGTAACTCGACAACAAGACCGCGACTCTTCTCGCGGCTCTTCCGCGAAGCCGAAGTCGAAGCCGAAGTCGAAGCCGAAGCCTCGGCAATGCCATCGTGTTTAGAGCTCTCCTTTTCGTCACTGCGAATTTCGCGACTCTAGATTCGGAACACGTAATCGACTAATTAAAGGCGAAAAGTCTTTTAACGCCTCAAGATTCCAAACGTCCTAACATTAAAAAGATGGATTAGATCATTCATCATTATTTTCTTTAATTTTAACGAGATTTTTTGAAATTCTTTCTCGTTTTAC